GAATAATGTAATTTCAATTTTGAAGGAGAATTTGAGGAGCAGAATCCTGATTTATTTTGCAGACATCAACATGTTAATGAGAAGGGACTGACAACCCAATAGCAACGCTAATATACACCTCCAACAGAGGAAAGGACTCCAGGGTAAAGAATTAAAGACGTATACAGGGTCAAGTTTCAGTAACATTATTTCACACTAAATTTAACAAAGAAGAATCTTTAGAATGTGAGAAAGAGTGAAGAGTGCTACTGTGAAATGTGCAGATTAAGGGAAAAAAAAATAAAATCCTAGATTAACTATTTGCTGTATTTCTTCATTCCCTACCCAAATTTTCATATACAATATAAAATACAATACCTTTTTTTGCCCTGGCCAGGGACCTGTGGCAACTCAGTACTGACTATTCATATAAACTGCCTAAAATTCTGCTGTTACAAGCAATCACACACTCCAGAAAGTCCTGTAGGAAGTGCAAGCACTGGCTTTCATGAACAGTGTATAAATAGATCATGGCAAAAGCAGCAGCTATTCAAACTGTGGCCTGATACCTGAGACCTGAAGACTGAATACCCCACAGCCTGGCCAGCTACTGCTTGCTTATGCTGACACAGTGCAACTTCTAGCCACCAAATAAACTACATTAATGTGCACAAGAACAGAACAAACCATTCTGTGATCCAATCCCAGAATACAGTAATTTTTTTAAAATGTTAGTTAACAGCACGTTGTTCCTTTTTGCTTGTTCTCCTACCTTAGCAAGAGAAATACTGATATTTCCAGTTCCATGGAGATTACACAGTAGAAACTCCTAATTATCTCATTTATTCCTTACCTCCCCCCACACCCAGGCTCAACACATGGCGCCAGCAGCATATTCCTTTTTCAGCCCTCAGGGAATAAGTCTTCTCCTGCTACCAATTAGGGTTGTCAGTCCCATAGCTCAAGTGGTAAAAACCTGTGCTGTAATGCTCAAGAGTCAGGTTTCTGCTCCAATGATGTATGAAGGAGAAGCAGTTGTGGAACAGTTTAAAATGCAATTTTACCTTCATCTTAAGTGTGCAAGAACAAGAAGCAAAATCAACTTGATGTGCAAAATCTTACAGATAGTTTAGGTAAAGGCTCAGATTCCAGTCACTTGAGGTGCCAGAGCTGCAGTTGCTCCAATCACACTTTTTCTCTTTTGAGATCTGCATTATTGTACAGTTTTCAGCTCTATCACATAATGTCCCCCTTCCCTTCTTTCTTGCACAAAGAAAAGCATCTTAATCAGTATATACATGGCACAAAAGACTTGTATAGGGAACCATGCACTTTTAGTCTTTTAAATCCTGCATACTTAACATACCTAAACTTCACTGCTTTAAAGACAATAGGCATTTAAATTCAGAGTAAATTAGCAATCAGGACAATTTGATCAAGCCAAATTAATGTTACAAGCACTTTCACATACTAGATTTTTTATTTTTGTTGACAGTATCCCACTTTTTTCTAAAACCCAAAGAATTCATCTTATCAACATACATAAGTGTTGATCTTTTTTTTGAATTTTCTGTTTCTGAAGTAGCTTAATTCCACTGCCAGCAGTATTTCTCTAACAGAAAACAAAACAAAAAAACCAAAACCAAACCAAATCAAAATCAAAACCCACATATAGGTTTGCTTGAAGCAGAAAACCAAACAAAATTAACAGAAGTACATCCTAAGCTCAGGCTTCAAGTCCTTATGCTGTTAAAATCACCAGCCCAGCCCTAAGGAAATAGTACCTGCCCTATTTTGTGACTGTGGGGAGGTGGTATAAAACCACATATTAAAAAGACTAACATGTTTAGTGTTTCCTTCTCTAGCAACCTCTTAGAAACAAAAGTTATGCTTGTAGATCTCGGGTCTTTGTAAGTATGTGGAAGGAAGAGTTCAACAACTACTACTTTCAGCATTTCAGCAGCTTTGTTGAACACACTATTAAGTAAGAACTGAAAAACAAATGACTAAAAAACCAGAGGGGGCACAGGAACAAAAAACAGAGCTACATACAGTAGAGCATGGGTAAGGGAAAGACTGTAGACAGGCAATGCATTTGTGATGCTCTTTTAAGAATCTTATCAACTGTGCTACTTCAAAAGTAAACATAAATCTCCCCAGCAACGGGAAATGCAACCACTAAATTTCTTGAATCACATGTTAAAAACAGAACAAAGCCCCTATCCAACAAAGAAACACACAGCTGAATGGAAACACTCTTGCTCTTGAAGATAAGGACACAGTTTAAGCACTTGCAGAATCAGGCTGCAGTTTTACTACTTGTAGATAAGATGAGGTTTCAGGTAATGAAAGCTCAGAACAACCAGCTTCATCTAAGTTTCATTCCAGAGTAAAAATTAAATTTGAAGTTTTGGGATTTGGATGCATGGTCATTACAGACTTGAGGAAAAAAAGCAGTTAGTTGTGTTTTTTTTAAAAAAAGCTGTCAGCACAAAATCACAGAAAATACACCCACCATTCAGAGATAGTACCACATTCTTGCAGTCATTTCTCCTATATAGCACAGCACTTTTCCCTTCCAGATGGGATTAATTTTATTTCTATAGGAGACCTGAAATTGAATTCACTGCCTAAAGATAAAAATCTCCCTTGGTAGGAATATGCAATTCCCTTCCTCCTCATGTTTCTCTCTCATAAAAAAAAGTGAACACAATCGCTGATAGTTAAGAATAATGCTTTTGGCACAGCTTCAGTCATTAGCAAATAATAAGCTCTGAGCTACAGCAATTCTGTGAGGCTGCAAAAAATATTTTGTCTTTCTGTGAGGCTCTGAGAACCTACGTGGCACTGGACAAAGATGAGTTACAGAGCTGCACAAAGGGGTTAATTTATTCCTCCTGCACTTTGTCAGTCTCCTTTGACAAGAACTATGGGCGACCTTTGAGCCAAACCAATATGTTAAATCAAATAAAATTTTTCTGTGCAACAAAGATCTTAGTATATTTACCATTACTTTTCAGCCTTTTCTGAATGTTCTCAACACTCAGGGAGAATCATAATTTAATGTTAAAAACACCAAAGATGCAGACTAAGATGAAGAGACAATGCCCACTAATACAGCAAGGCAAAATTGCAGTGGCACTGCCAGTAATTACATAAATGATGAAATGAGGACAGAAGAAGACACAAAACTGACCTTAAAGAAAGAACTGCAATAATTTCACATCTAGCAGCTTAAGATGTACAATCTATGGAAAAAGAAAACAGAGAGCATCAGAGCAGTTCTCACTTCCACACTACCATCTGGTGTGATTCACCAAGAAAGCAACAATCAGAAAAAGAGCAAGATGCTTACAGCCCTGTACAATCCCTCTCATCATGAAAACAACCAGTTTAAGAGTCAGGAACGTGCGTGTTGAAATATTTCTCTGTGACACCAAAAGAACAGTTTAAACTTTTGGCCTAGTCTAAGTTACTATGTGAAGAAGGAAAAAAAAGGCATATAATTTCTTTTCTGTAGAATTAACATTAGTTATGGTTCTTTAATTTGTATTTCTTGAAAAGAGAAGAATGGAAAGTATCACAAGAAAACCACATTTTAAAAAAAGGGACATATGTATAATGAAACATTAACAAGAATGTTTTTTTCTGTATTACATAAAATGTTAGGATTTATTTTTAATGTTTTTATAAAATTTAAGGAAAGCAGAAATACAAGAACTATATAACCCAAATTACCATAGTATAAAAACATTTGAAGAGACTGAATCATAAAAAATCAGCCACAACCAAGTCAGACAATAAAAGCACAGGTGACAAAAACAAAGCCAGGAGTGAAATAACAGCACTTAAACTGATGTAAACATTCAAACCCTGAAGACAGGAAATGCAAAAAGAGAAAGCTAGGTGTTAATGAAACACAATACTCGATAGGCTGAAGCCTACTGTTTTCTCTTCAAACAATTTTCTTTTGAATGCAAACCTTCAACAGCTGCTAAGTGTGATACAGACAAGCATTTGTAAGAACTTGTACATGTTTTTCTAGCCGACAAGCATTTGTAAGAACTTGTACATGTTTTTCTAGCCACTGACCCTTCAAACCCTTCAGTCCTAGAAGGGCCGCTGTGCACCTTGCCCCAACAGCTACAGTGACGAGATCTGTCCTTTCAAATCTCTGAAGATATGCTGTGGAGATGAGGATATTCTCTTGCAAATAAAATATTGAACAGGTGAATGTCACGGTGACACTGGGGGGATGACATGCAGCTAAATCTCATCATGCAGCTAAATCTCATATAAGATTTAACTCCAGAGCACTCTCTGGTCACATGATGGCTCTGCACAGCTTCTGGCAGTAGTTTGTTTCCCTGGCAAGCTGACACAAGCTACTGCCGTATAACACCACCACCCCAGCCAACTAACAAAAACCACTTGGTACTGGTTAGCAAGCTGAACTGGCCCGTGGCTGCTTAGAAGAGACAGTCAGCACATGGGCAGTTTTGCGATTGCCCTTTTAAGCCAGAGCAGAGTTAGATTTTCCCAAGTATTTCCTGAAACACCAGTCCTGGAAAAGAAAATTAAATCACAACCACAGAATGGCCGCAGTTGGAATGGACCTTCAGAGGCCCCCTTGTCCAACCCCCTGCTTAAGGAGAACCATCTTAGAGCTCGTTCTTCTGGACCACATCCAGGTGGCTTTTGAGTGCCTCCAAGGATGGAGACCCCACAACCTCTCTAGGCAACCTGTACCAATGCTTGGTCACTCTCACAGTGACAAAAGCATTCCCTGATAAATCTCCTGTGTTTCAGTTTGTACCGTTTGCCTCTGTTCCTTTCACTGGGCATAAGTAAATAAAGCCTGACTGCCCTCTTCCATCAGGGCTCATTAATAAGAGCCCTCTGAGCCTTCTCTTCTCTAGGCTAGACAGTTTCAGCTCTCTCAGTCTTTTTTCATATATAAGATGGTCCAATCTCTTAATCATTGTTGTGACACTTCTTTGGCCTCTTGCCAGTACGTCCACATGTGCCCTCGCACCCCGCACTCTGGGTGCCCCACCAGTGCACAGCAGAGGGGAAGCAGCAGCTCCCTCGATCTGCTGGCAACACCACATCACGTGCAGATTGGGATATTGGAGGTGCCTTTGCCACAAGGACAATTGGGAGGAACCTCTCCATGCCAGGGATTGATTGGGAAAAAGGCAAGATGCATGGCAAGTGCCATGTCCAGATGCTGTATTTGTCTTACATCCATCAATTGTTCTAAACCTGGAGACTGAGTACCAGCTCAATTTCAACAATGAAATAAAATTAAATTAATAGAATAGCTCAGTTGGAAAGAATCTACAATGATTCTCTGGTCCAACTGCCTGATCACTTCAGGGACCATCAGAAGCTAAAGCATGTTATTAGGGCATTGTCCAAATGCCTCTTAAACGCTGACAGGCTTGGGGCATCGACCACCTCTCTAGAAAGCTTCTTCCAGTGTTTGGCCACCCTCTCAGAAAATAAATGCTTCCTGATGTTCAACCTAAACCTCTTTAGGTGCAGCTTTGAATCATTCCCGCGTACCCTGGGATATCCAGTGGATACCAGGGAGAAGAGATCAGCATGTCGTCTCCACTTCCCCTCCTCAGGAAGCCGTAGGATGATGAGGACAACCCTCAGCCTCCTTTTCCCGAACTAGGCAAACCCGAAGTCCTTAGCTGTTTCTCACAGGACACTGCCTTCAACAGCTTTGATTCCCTCCTCTGGATGTAGCTGTGGAGCCCAGAACTACTCAATATTCCAGGTGAGGCCACACCAGCGCTGACTACAGCGGGATAATCGCTTCTGTTTGCACTGTGCGTGACGCACCCCAGGACGCCTTTCGCCCTCTTGGCCGCCAGGGCACGGTGCCAGATTACACCTGAGCGGAACCAGTATCTGAAGGGAGAGGGAAACGCCGGGTAGGGGAAATACGGGGCGATTTAAAAGGATTAAATGATAGGACAAGGCTAGAAGCTGACGGCCGGTTCCCCCGGACTCCCCGGGACTCGGCCCCGCCGCCCTCCCCGCCGCGGCAGCATCGACAGCCGCCCCTCCGT